GCTCAGAGAGGTTAAGTGAGTTATGTCCATGGTAATCATCCTTGGACATTCTTCATGAGAAAGGAGAGCTGCGGCTGGGATCCATAAATGGCAACATGGCAGGCGCCATCCAGTCTCTAAAACCTCAGACTGGTACTAGAGGGAAGAGGGTGGGGAGGGAGAGGGCCAGGGGACCAGGAGAACTTGAGGTACTCGTCTCTAACTCCCAAGGGTGCTGGCCTAGGCCAGCTCAGGGCTAAGTGGAGCTCTTCCTGTGGTGTGATTTGAGAAGCCCCTCAAGAAAGGCCCACCAAAATCTACTTCCTTGGGCATGTACACCATCATCGCCATCATCTCCTTCACCTAATTAGAATAGTACTTGATAAACCTTCCCGTTGAAGCTCTCTCAATGGCAAAGGCACCTAAAGGCCACTCTGGGTGGGGTGGGGAGGATGGTCAGGAGCAGAGTCCCAAGAGGGAGCTGAAAGAGAAACCGTTTTGAATTTGGTGTTTTATCTTCAACAATCGTGCAGATTTCACATCCTGCTCCACAATAAAACTGTGAATTTTAAAAATGCATGCATTTTCTTACAAAAACAATAACCTCTTTGCAAGGATACTGTGCGTGTCATCTTCATCCTCTGGTTCCTGCATCACCTGGCAGACTGACTCATTTCTCACTTTGAGACAACATTTAAGAAATCAAAAACTCCAGTTACAATTAAATTTTACTTGCAAATGATACTAGTCCAAGTCTCTGTCACCAATTAATACAACTCTGTTATCAGATTAACCGGAGGGGCTCAGGGAATTGGGATTAGGGCTCTGGGATTAGGAAGTAGAGAGGCAGCAGAAAGGAAAGCTGGAACATTTGGTGGAATTGTCACAGACATCCAGCCCTTGTCATGGGCCTGAACATCACATTGACACATTGTGGCACAAAAATGGCAACCCCAAGTGGTGGCCCTCACATAGCCCCAAACTATGAGGAAAAGCAACAGAATGTGGATCTGAGAGTCTCCTGACAATTGATTTAAAAATCTTGAATTTTCAATTTGCTCTATTTGTCAGCCATTTACATTATCTGGGGACACTTGATGGTTACTCTTGACACATGCAAAATAAAAAATTTCCATTGGCAGTGCTCATATCTGCCACGACTCCCCCCTGCCAGACAGCGAAACCTGTAAATATGGCTGCAACTAACAAGCAGGCAAACCAACAACACCTCTTTCTTACTGTTCTTGTCAATAAGAAAATGGTTGTTAACTAGGATCCTGAACTAAATTCTGGGCCTCTGATTGTATGACATGTGATTAAGGTCTTCTACTATTTGCCAATTGCAAGCTAGAGAGGAAAATTCACTTTGAAACCACCCTAAAACATAGTATGACTTGCATGGCATTTGGGATTTTGATGAGAACCAAAATGCAGTCCAGGTTTCCATGAAAAACAGTAGAAACTATAATATAGACTCAATCTGCATTCAAGCCTCTCTGCTCAACCTCCCATATTTATTCCTTCTTCTGGATGGATCCAGGGCACTCTGGGCTTAAGAGCCGACTAGATCCCTGGAACCAGAGGAAACCCTAGAGATCACGTGCTCTCATCCGGCTGCTTTAAATGAGGAAATGATGTCTACACTGATGACCTACTCACGGCCCCTCAGCCGGCAAGTGGCAGACTTAAAGCTGCAGGCTGGATGTCTAGGCTTGCAGGCCAGGTTTCCCCCAGCCACACCCAGCTTTGGCAAGACTGACCAAACAAGCTGTTTTTGCGGTACCTGCATATATCTTGGCTTAAGGTCTACTGCAGACATCATCTAGATGTTAAGGGTGCCTGGAGTCCTCACCAGTAATGTCAGGAGCCACACAGGGATTATGACTCGCCAGAGACTGCCAGAGAATTGCTATATTCAAAAGTCTTAGAGGCAGGCAACTGATTGGAAAGGGCAGGAGGTCACGGGATGGGTCACGGAGTTTCATTTGTTTAATGAGGACACTTTTTTGCATATAGATTGTATTTTTATTTTGAGCAAACCTGGAGAGCTGATGGAAATTACAGTGGGTGGCAAGCTCGCCTCAAGCCCTCTTGGCAACATCAGCATAACTCACATGCATATTTGCTCTTGGCATTTCTGGGAAGAGATGGGGAATCATTCAGTAAATCACTTTTTAATGTCAAAAAACTTCTCATATGATAATACACTTAACCATCCAGTGGGTCAGTAGATTGTAGTAGTTAAGAGTTAGGCTTTCGAGTGCAACAAAGCTGGGTCCAGACCCAGGCCATGCCCCTTCCTACTACTCTACCAGATCTACTGTGCAAGCTCAGGGCATGTGAGCTGCTATTATTACTCGTGGAGGAGTAAAATGACAAAGAGCCACTGTGGATTCAGTTGACTCATACTAATTCGCATTTAAAAATTACAACAGTACCTATTACAAACATTTGAATGACAGGTAAATATCTGTGACTGGAATGATCTATTCAGACCACAAACAATGTTTTATGTGCAAATTGGTTGATTTGAACCTTTTGTAATATTAGTCTGCAGGGCCACTGGGCCATGGTGCCAGTACCCCAGACAGAGCAGAAGAGCATAGTTTGGAATCTTATCATCCTGGATTCAAATCCCAGCTTTGCCATCTTCTAACTGTCTATCTCTGACAAGTTGTTTAACTTTTCAGAGCCTTGCTTTCCTCATCTCTAAAAGAAGGGAAAACACCTACCTCTCAGCATTGTTGAAGGATTGAATGATATAATCTCCACAGGAACCTGTTATATGATGGGTGTCAAATACTTACCTGTATTCTCACAATCTGAGCACAGTTTAATAATTCACATCACTTTGAGAACAATTCTTTAAACTGCAGAGGGCCTGGACATTAAGGTCTTCATGCCAATGAGGACTTGTAACCCCGCTCTCTGAAAACAGAGAGGAATAAAGTGCGCTTCGCATTCAGTAGTACTTTCAATGTTTTATTGTTGTTTTTGTTCTCTGGGAGCACCCAGCGGCAGCTTCGGCCTCTACCAAGTATCTTCCACTTAACTCTTCATTCTTCCTTGCTCTTCTCCCTTTCTTCTTTCTCCCAGCTCACTGGGAACAATGTTGTGATGTGCCACTGTCACTGCTGACAGCCCCCGGGCTCCTGAGGGCTACCTTGGGGCAGCAGGACCTACACAAGAGCCCTCAGAAAGAGTGGCCCTGACTGGGGCACTGATGGTGGCAGCGAAGCAGGCCTTCCTGAGCCATTTCCCTCAGTATAGTTAAGGCAGGAATCACCACTGGTTCAGAACATCCCCACCCTCCTTCCCTGGAATAGAAGGCTGGAAGCCACGTAAAGGGCAGTGCGGCCTGCAGACAGGAAGGCCGTCAGGGCAGAGATCAGCTGTGTGAGGCCATGTTCTCCTGGGAGTTGTGGTTCATTCTCTGCCAGGAGCCTGGGAAATGACTTGGTTCAGGGCCTTTGCCTTCCCAGCCTCCTGCGCAGTCTTCCTCAGACCTCTCTTCATGTGGTGGACGCGTGGAAGGATCATGCACCGTCTCAGAAAACTCTCACACTTGTGGAAGGCCCCATGCCAGACTCCGCTCTCCCCTTTGGGAAATGTGCTCTGCCTATTTCAAGAACGTCCCTTCCATTTCCTGGTCCTGGGGCTTCACGATATGTTTCTCCTCCTTGGGACTTTAAGTGGGAAGATGAATATTCCATCCTTGAAGAAATTTTCATCCCTGGGCAAATCCTTTTCTTCATGTCCTCAGGTAGTTTGGGAAACTCACACCCACATTGCTATTCCCTGACTTTGTACTGGTCTCCCGGAGCTGGCAGTCACTCTCGGATCTGTTTGTCAGAGGTAAAACTGGAGCAAGGAGCCATGTGACATGTTAGTATAGGGACCATGTGATGATGGAATGAGGAACAAAGAGCAGGGGGCCCACCAAATCCGGATTGAGAGCTGCTAGCATTTCCTGTTTGTTTATCTTTTTTAGGCTAATTATTTGTTTCTTGTTCTCAAATCTAGAAGCTGTCTGCCCAGCACAGTTTTAGATACTCAGAAACAATCTACCAAATATATGCCTCCAGTACAACCTGGGGGTTCATTAGATTAATTAATTAATATTGGTTAATAAACACCTTGAAATCCTTTTATTAAAAGGGCAACCTAAGTCCAAAGTGCTATTATAATCAGACCTCATGAGGTCAGTGGTTTAAAGAGGGGGCTTTAAAGCATATATAAAGCTCCTCTAGTGATCAGTGGTACAGGATGAAGGTAAGAAGAGGCAGGTGAGTCTACATGCTCTTGCAAACTCCTCCACAGTGGTAGAGCCACACTGAAGTCGACTCGGACTCAAGCCAGGTGGTGTTCAGAGATCTACTGAGTAGTGTATTCTCAAATTGTTAAACCTATGTTATAGGACAAAGGCCACCACTTTGTAAAGGCCTGACGTATGGGTTGCTGCTGAATAAGGAAGAACTTAGATAGAGGGGGGATTTTCTCTGCAAGGTCACAAACCAGGTAGGTGCTAGCCTTCTTGTAGTCTGATTGCTAAATGCATGAGCTGCCTTTTCAATGAAACCAAGAATAGAGTCAGCAGAGAAAGACATGGAGCACAGCAAACCTCTTCTGAGTCGTGATCTGTAATATTCCTCTCCGTGGTTTCTTTTGATTGTCTGAGGAGACTGTAGTACAAGAATGGCAACCAAATAACGATATGATCAAGCTTGGAGACGGGATAGGAGTATGTGTGTGGGGGTGGGTAACAAATGTAACATGTTCATAGGCTTATGGCAGTAAGAAACTGGAGTAAATGCATTGGGAGCTTATGCTTAGAAAAGACGTGATTCAATGAACCGTGATGCTGAATCTGTGAGAATATCTTGGAACTGGAAATAGGGTATTGAATTGGAAATTACCCAAACTTTTTTTTAAATCAAAGTGACTTTACTTTAAGAAACTTTCAAGTTTTAATTAAAGTTTCTCTTTCAAATCATAGGTGCTCTAGGATAAGATTCACTGCCATGCTATCCTCTATCCTGTTTTGGGGTCTTATTGCCCTCATTGGTAAGTCATTGACTGACATTTAGCATTGTTCAAAGGGTGTCCACAAAAACATCCAGCACAGCCATGAATCAGAAAGAGCAATGATCACACGTAATGGGGGAGAGAGCTCTCCTTCTAATCTAATTACACTCCATTTATTAGGGCTTTAGTAAAAGTACAGAGGCAGAAATGCAAGACACGTGTTTGAAGTGCAGCGAGCAGGTAGTGTGAGCAGAACGGAAGAGGGGATTTCTGAGGGGTAGGCTGGAAAGGGAGGCTGGCAAGGTGGCAAGGGACCATGAATAAGGAAACCTGGAAACTTTGACCTGAGAAAAATGAAAAGCCACTGTAAACAATGTTCAAGTTGTCTTTACTAATAGAATGAAGATTGAGAAGAAAGTGTTTCTAAAATGTTTAATTCTAAATTTGGAAAAGTGAGACTACTGAAAAGCAGTAATTTCCAGGTACTTATGGCCAAAGGGCCAGGGAACATGGTTTAAAATTTTTACTTCTTTCATTTCCAGGTGGGAGCAGAGTTATATAGCCAGTAGACTAATTATGAGCTACTGCGTCTGACTGAAAGATAACTATAATTAAGAAGGGCCTGTGTGTTTATGATGCCAACACAAGTAGTGCAAAGTCCATGGTCATATTTCAATCCCCTCAAAGCATTGGTTCCCAAACTTCAGTATGCGTAAGAGTCTACAGGGAATCCTGATTTAAGTGAAGATTCTTTGATCTTATACCTACAAATTCTGGTTCAATAGACCTAGTATGAGGATCCCAGAAATGTGCATTTTTTTTAACAGGCATCCCAGATCACATTCATGCCCCCGGCCTGTGGGCCACACATTGAGCACAGCAAAGGCTGAATCCTCAGTAAAAAGAAATTGAACCTGTTGATATATGGACACTTGATCCAGATAATTTAGATAATTTTTTCTTCCCATCCTCCGTTTATCCATTCAACAAATATTTATTGAATATCCACTCTATGCCAGTCATTGTTCTAGATACTGGGTAAGATAAGACTGAAGAAAATGTTCTAGTGAGAGGAACAGGCAAAGAGAGAGACAGCAAGACAGAGAGAGAAAGGAAGAAAAAAAAGAAGGAAGATATGTCAGCTGGTAGTGACATAAATACACTAATGTATGGTTATGAGCATGGAATGAGGCATAAGCATATTGCCTTTTTAATGTAATTAGGCAAGAAAGGCTCTTTAATAAGGTAACTTAAAAAAAAGCTTTGTTGTAGAAAATTTCAAGCATATAAAATGGGAAAAAATAGTATAAAAACCTCCCATATACCCATCACCCAGCTTCTATGGTTTTCAATATTTTGCCATTCATATTTTATCTATCCCTCATCTCTGCATTTTTGAGGGGAGGTTGGAGTATTTTAAAGAAATCCACATCATCAAATCATTTCACGGGTAAATTTTTTAGTATGTGTCTGTATGTAACATATAAAGACCAGCTCTGGCACAAGGGGCACATGTTCCTGGCTCATCTTGAACGTTTCCTGCCCAGACCAGGAGCACTGGCGACTCTTAGCAGGAAATGATATTTAGAGACCACAGTTTAGGTGCTAGGGGTGCTTCACTGCTATGGAGTTGTCATTTCTTCCTGAGCTCTTCAGGGGAGAGAACTAGAAAATATATATGTTTAAAGAGAAAAATAACAATGCATGTATACTATTTCACATTAATGTTTACAAATACCAGGGTTTTGCATTGGTTTTATATTTGTACCTCTGCTGTCTTATGCTAAAAATCCTTGTTCCTAATGACATTAACATGATTATTTATTTGTATATGATAGTTTCAAATATATAACAATATTACCAAACTACAATGAGACTATGAGTATAGTTTAAGATTTTCCTACGATTCTTTATGTTCATAGGATGGACTCCACCAGTGGTATGTACTTACACTGACATATGAAAAATCACTTGAAATAATTCTTCTCAATGTGATAATTAAGTTTCCAATTTGATATAGAATTAGGTTTGCTTATTTTTTACTTTTCAGGATGTCTTTTTTTTAATTTTATTTTATTTCTTTAAATTATGGGAACATTTACATGGCTTCAAAATAAAAACTATAAGAAAGGTACATTTAGAGAAGCCTAGCCTCTATTCCTGACCCCTCTGCGCTCTTCCTACCCTCCCCCATAACTAACAATTTGTATTAGTTTTTGGTTCATCTTTGTATTGTTTCTTTTGAAAATATAAATTACACAATACACTCACACACATACACACAATCACATTTTCTCCCCTTTATTAAACAAAAAACAAAATTCTGTAAATACTGTTCTGTACCTGGAGATAATTTTACATGTACATTTTTATAGCTGCATTACTCTGCTGTGTGGATGCAGCTTAGCTTATTCAGTTGGTCCCTATATTAATGACACTTGCATTGTTTCTCCTCTTTTACTGTTATAAAGTGTTGAAACAATAGCCTATTGCAAACTTCCCCTCCACAGAGCCTGTGCCCCCACAATCTCACCCACAGAGTACATTGTTCAACTTTTGGATTCTTGCCAACTGAATAGGTAAAATAGTGTCTCAGTGATATTTTAATATGTCATTCTCTTCTTTTGAGAGTGGTTGGCACCTTTTTATATGTTTAGGGATCATTTTCTTTCTTCCTCTCTTCCCTTTCCTTCTTTTCTTCCTTTCCTTTCCTTCTTTTCCTTCCTATCTCTCTCTTTCTCTCTCCCTCTCTCTCTCTCTCTGTCTCCCTCCTTTTTTAATAAACTATTTATTCCTATCTTCTGCTGACAAGGTGGTATTTGAACAGAGACCTGAAGGCAGTGAGGCAGCAAATCATGTAGATATCTGGGAGGGTAGCATTCTAGGTGCCAGGAACTGCAGATACAAAGGCCTTGGAGGAGGAAACAGCCTGGCAATGTTGAAGACAAGTGAGAAGAATGTGGCTGCAGAAGAGTGAGGGAAGGGAAGGAGAAGCAGGAAAGTGAGCAGAGGGCCGGATCTAGGTAGGGCTGGGTGGACACAAGATGGGCTTGACCATTCCTCTGAAATATGGGAAGACCACTAGAAGGTTAAGGTAGAACACTGCTATGATCCTATTCGTGTTTCCACAGGACCACTCTGGCATCTGGGGGAGAACAGACACAAGGGTGGAGGAGGGAGGCCAGTTAGAAAGCTGCTACAGTGATCCAGAAGCACAATGATGGTGATTGGATCATGGTGGTAGCAGAGGTGCTGAGAAGTGGTCAGATTCTGGGTGTTTTCAGTCTGCACCCTTACTCCCAACCCCCTCACTCCAATTACATGTGATCTGGTTTCTGCTGCTTTTATCATCTAGACAGACTTTCGTTATATCCTGAGTTAGTTGATAGCTACACTCTCTGACTTTCTGGCCTATTTATAATCTTTTTTTCTTTTTGCCTGTTTGTAGATGGGAAAGAACAGATTTTGTATTTGTATTTGTTTTGGTGGGTTTTGCTTTTTAAAAAATTACATAGCTTTTAAAAGTTAGTCTTTAGAGCTGCTTTGTTTCTCTTTTAAAATAAATACTTATAAGTAAGAGTTCTACTGGTTTTGTGCATAATTCTAAGAAAGTCTCTTTATACTGCCAAGTTAGTCAGAAGTAGATCTATAGTGAATGGGTAAAATCCACCTCTCCATTTAATAAAAACCATTTACAGCACTAAGTGAAATGACATAGTTTTTAACATCAAACATTTTAACAATATAACTTCTTCTAACAAAAATTTGTAATCTTAAGGTACAAGTCAAGAATCCTAGTAACTACTAGAACAAAATTTTCAACCTACAGAAAAGCTCTGTATTACCTTTAGTAAATAGAATTGGACAGAAAATTCACTTGATAAAGATAAAATAAAAAACAAGAATAGATTTAATTTACATTTTTATGGCATGTTGAATTTTATTTCTAATTTCATTAATTAGACTTAGAAACTCAACTTCACAGCAACATGATGTAAAACAAATATTTTAAGTTGATGGTACTCTTCTTTCTTATCTTCCTAAACAAAGGGAAAGTCAACATTCTCTCAAAGTTCCTGTTTAGAACTCTAGATTGAGTGCTGTATGAAAGCTTTTTTAAGGTAGGAGTAGAGTGGGAAGGGGGAATGTTTTGTGTTGTCTCATGAACCATTCTGGGGGCATGGCAGGGACTGGAGGAGGACTAAGTCTATGGCTTCACCTTTGGTTTAGTCATGCTCATTATAGCGACTCAAGCAAAATTTTCTCACAGACTTCATGTGAATTATCATTCTGTCCCCCAGGCACTTCCAAGGGCTCCTACCCTTTCACTCACTCAATGAACCCTCACCTGCAACCCCGCCTGTACCATGGCTGTTATGGTGACATCATGGACATGGAGGCCTCTGGCGTGGCCTGTGATATAACCAGGTTAATGAACTGTGGTAAGTGGAAAGCAAAGCAAACATTTGGCTTTCCCCCTTTAGTCATTTTTGGATTTTTTCTTAAGAAGTAGCTTAGTTTTGAAAAAGTATCATTATTACAGCAACAATATCAAAGTTAAAAATTAGAAGAAAACAGAATCCTGACCAACCCAACAAACTGCTTCATTTTCTCCCCCATTCTTTGCAAATCCTGTCCAAATGTGTTTATTTCTATGGATTGAAACAATTGCTTAAATCAAATATTAAGTTATCTTTGTTTTTGTTTGTTCTGTTTACTTCATGTTGCAGCATGAGCATTTTGAGCAAGCCTCTTGCTTTGTACATCCTCTTTTCTAGTCCTGTTCCAAAGACTTCATGTTATCCCAGTATTAAAGTGTCAGAGCTGGAAGCAAGCACAAGGTGAATCTAATGCTACCTCCCCAGTTCACAGATCAGCAAGGAGAAGAGACTTCCTGAGAGCCCAGAGCTAGGTATTTAGTGGGAGAACCAGACTCAAAGTTAGATTGGTTGACTTCTAGCCCAAGAGTTTTCCAATGCACCAATGTAGCAGAAAACAGAAGAATGAGAAAAGGAGTAAAAGTGGAATCTATCTGGGGTTGTGGACATTTCCAGGTATATGCAATCAGGCATCAAAATTTGCCCCAGAATGGTTGTCCCAAACTGTGGGCAGCAGTCAGGGGCTCTAGCTAACTTATTAAGATTTAGAAAAATATTCTTTTCTGGCATAGAGGAAATAGTTTATTTTCTATTGACTTAGGAATCCGTGGTTCTGAAATATTTGCTGAGATGGATTTGAGAGCTTTAAAGACTTACCAGACTTTGATCAAAGAAGTTGGGCTGAGGCATTGTGTGGACCCTGCTCTCATTGCTGCCATCATCTCCAGAGAGAGCCACGGTGGAGCCGTCCTGCAAGATGGCTGGGACCACAGGGGACTGAAATTTGGCTTGATGCAGGTACAAGCTAGAAACTTCAATCAGCCCAGTTCATCCTTCCTTACAAAAGCTCAACCCAAACTAGAAATCCATTTGCAGTACTTCCAGGCTCCAAAACACCCTGGTAGTTCTGCATAATTTGTGCTGGGATTTCCGTAACATGTCTCTAGTATTTCAGTCAAGATTTATCAGTTACTGGATATCTTCAGAAAAAGCATTTTATGAGTTTCATAACTACAATTTACAATTAATAATATGCAAGTTACTAAAATTGAGAAAATTTTATAAAGGTTATTATTACAGGTATCTTCTAGGGGTTCATGAAGTAGTAAATTCATCCATACAGATCAAAACACTATAATTAAACCCTACTTGAACCAATTTGTTCCTTAGGCAAATTGGAGGAAGGGGATCCAAATTATCTGGTATTTGCTTCCAGGCTTTATTTTAAATTGTCTATAGAAACCCAGACTTCTATCATTCTCAATCGAAAAAAAGTTTTATTTTTGACTGCCAATGTCCAATGTCTAGACATTGGGTGCTAATTATTTGTTTCAAAAGAACTTTTTCATTTACATTTATATTTGCATGCTTAACCAAAAAACTAAGCCATATCCACCTGTCCCAAACTCTACTTTTTTCTGACTTCTTTTCTGAAAAAGATAAAAGAGTGCAGAATTGATTCTATGGGCATAAAAGAAGGGGGCTTAAGGTCAGTGGCTATGAACTTAAACACAAGGAGGAGAAATCAGGAACAACAGAAAAATGTGTTGCTTCATCCAAATTCTGACATTTTGATTTGAATTTTCTAGCTCAATAAAAAAATTCATCCCCTTTTTGGTGATTGGGACAGCAAAGAACACCTTTTGCAAGCTGTTGGGATTCTAACAGACAAAATTAAGGCGATCCAGAAAAAATTCCCCACATGGAGTGTGGCTCAGCACCTCAAGGGTAGGCTGTCTTTGTGGTTCCTTGTTTAGAAAAGCTGTGAGTGAGACTGCTGAAGGCCACAGATGTCCTGGCCTCCTTGAGAATATTCCCGTTAGGTCAGCAGTGGGCCTGGGAGGAGCTGTCAAAAGGCTGTACCCTCTGAATTACTCTGAACTCCTGAGTTATTTTGAGAAGTCTTTCCTCCAAAATTCCATTTCCCCTTCTGCCAGATGTTGGGTTTCTTATTATACCTCTTTTTGGTTACCCAGCCATTGACTGATGCCTTGAGAGTTAATGCAATAGTTTAAAAGAATATGCTTTCCTTCCTCTGAGATATTTTTTTGTGATGCAAGAAACTGTTAACCACTTTCTGAACTGTTTGAACAAATTTTCTTCTGTGACCATTCTACATGATATCAGGCCTTTAGGACCATGATATATGCAAGGGGAGACCTGTCTGGCTGATCACAGACCTTCTCAAGTTCAGCATCTCCCAGACTGAATTATGTCACTAGCTTCTCACTGTAAATTTGCTCTTTTTTCTGCACTTTCTGTCTCTGTGAAAGGTGCTATAATAAATCCATCATCCCAGGCAGAAAACCACTGTTTTCTTAAAAAGACTGTCTGGTTCCTTCTCTCCTCACATCCAGCAACACCAAGTCTACCTCCAGCAGACCCATGGTATGTCTATGCCTCCTTCCTTCCACATCTTAATGGCCTTAATTTGGAATAGTTTCCATTTTCTATTTCAAAGTCCTTGAAGGCTGGGATCAGGACCAATGGTCGTCTTCTCTAGACATCAGAGCAGAGCAGTTACATTAAACACAAATAACTATTGCAGATTAAAATTCTAGGATAAAATACATACGTGGATTTGTGTGTGCACGTGCGCACACACACACACACACACACACACACACACACACACATGTATATCCCTACAAAGGAATTTTTATTTCCTGAGTACCACTGTGTACCCTGCACTCAGCTGTAGCACCCATCTTGACACATAGTAGGTGTTAAAAAATATTTATTGAATGAATGAATGAGTGCATGAATAAATGAATGAATTATTCAATGACCCAGAGAATGTTATAAGCATTTTTAGACTGAAGATTTGCTGGGGATCTAGTTTTGCCAGGCCCGAGCTACATACAAAGCATGACCTTTACAGGAACAAAAGCAAAAGTCTTTTAAAAAGAGAGAAAAGGAAAGCAATCTGGAATTTTCCCAGTGATTCTTGAAGTAGTAGATCCTTCTAGGAGGGGAGGAAGGTAGAAAGAGGATCAAGGGCTGCCTGCTTTGCAAGATTTTCTGGAGGACTCACATCCTGGGAATGCTAGTATATTATTTCTGTTGAAAGTTAACATTTCAACCTGAACCTCTGTGTTTCATTTTAGGTGGTCTCTCAGCCTATAAGTCAGAAATTGATGCCATTGCTACCCCTGAGGACATAGACAATGACTTGGTCAATGATCTTCTTGCCCGAGCTAAATTCTATAGAAGACACAGCTTCTAGGCAAAGATCTGTAGGTGTGCCAGGTTGGCAGGTGCTCAGATGGCCCCTCCTTGATATGGATGTGCTGTACCCAACACTGGCCAAGGTTACAATTATGACAGAAAATTTTCCAATTTTCTTAATGCAACTAAGCATTAAAACTAAAGAAAAGAAAATCCATGCAGTTCACAATATGGTTCCTGTAGAAATACACATAATTATTTGTAGTAAATGTGAATATTATGGTAAGTGACATCTACATACTCCAGTGAGGCCTTATTTTGGCTCATGATTTCAGTGCCCACCTACTCCCTGTCTTACCAGAAGTGCTAACAGGAGGAGAGCCTGACCTGAGCCTTTGTCCTCTTCCGAGTATTTGCCCAAGTCACTAAGGCTTAGCATGTGAGAATGTGACTTAGAAGCCAATCAACTTGTGGGGTGATGGAGAAGCTCAGGATGGAATTCTAGCTCTATGAGTAACTGAGTGCTGACCGTGGTGAAGCTCATCTTCTCAAGTGATGTGCACCACATCCCCCAGGTCCACACCAACCTCTTCCATCTTCTTCCTCTTGTTTGCTGAAGATCCAGGGACTGGCTTCTTTTCTTCCATTTTCAGAAGTTGCTGCCACATGCTCTTTCAAGGGGTCTACTCCCCACAAATCAGGCTGAAGATAAGCATATAGGACCCAAATTAGTTATGATTCATTAGTTACAAACAATGGTAACTAACCAATTCTGAAAAATGTAAGCAATAAAAGGAAATCACTGGAAAGCTACCAAAAAGCTAACAGAATCAACAAGAAGGTCAAGGACATGGAGAGAAATTAGGCAACCTACTTTATAGCACCCCCACTGCCTGAATAAGCAAGCACTTTCACTGTGTAAATTCACTCCAAACACTCTCTCTCCTGTCCTTTCATCATTCTGCTCCACTTTCACAGTCCCAGCAGGGAGTCTCTGGTGGACTCACCTTGGGTCACAGACACACCTACACCTTGCCTGCTCTGCTCTTTGGTTTTGTCCACACTGCCCACAATGGAGAAGAGCCAATTCTCTAGAAGGAAACCTGGCACAGTTGCTGCTTTACTTCCATACTCAAACGAGGACACAAATAATAAAATGTTGGAGGGTAAAGCTCTCAAAGCCCCTGCTGATGTGGCCCCTGCTGGGGCCTTAGTTCACTTTGGAGATGTCTGATAAGTGTTCCTACCCATCATTTCTCTTTCTGAGGAGGAATCAAAATCATACCCACCTACCTCTTAAAGAAAGCCAAGTAAACTCTTTTCTGCCCAGACTCTCAGCAAAGTCTGAAGATTTAACCTACACAGAACTGAGATCCCTGTGTTTCACTGGGAGAAGCCAGTAGTCTACTGGTGTCACAGCCCTGCAGCAATACAGGCAGTTAATAATTGGTCAAGGACGATGCTGTACCTGTTGTTAAATACTTTTATTATTAACTCTGCATGTGGGCAATCCAAGACATTCTTTAGATGTTCACTTTGCTTAAGAATGATTTCTTCTGGGCTTCTCCCCACAGGCAAGCACTGCATCTAGTCGCCCCTTCAATGTCACTACTGAAGCAACAAAGTGCATCCAGGTGAAATAATTTCCAAATAATTTAAACAACAAGAAATAGCATGCTGACTTATACTCTGAATCTGTTCCCCCAGTATTCTCTTTATACCAAGAGATGCTCTACAGGAGAGGCCATATTTAAGGCCATGTCTTAATCTGGTTCCCACAGAAGCAGACCCTGAGGCAAGGATTCAAGTGCAAGTAGTTCATCTGAGGGGTGCAGGGAATGCTGGTGTCTCTCAGTGACAGAGAGAAGGGAAGTTAGTCAATAAGCATGTGTCCTCAAGCCACCTACCATGATGGCCACTGGAGCTCAACCCTCCAAGGAAACATGGAGGAATGATACAAAACACACACTTCAGAACTAGTCCACCCAAGGGACAAGGAGCTGAGGTATTTATACATCAACTTCTAAGAGCCGTTGATCAAGGGATCTGCCTGTTGGGATATTAATCCTTGGCTCCTCTGGTCTGCCATGCAAATAGGCAGCACACTTTTCTGCAGTTCCAAGGACAAGAGGCTGTAGGCACAGAGAGGCAGATATGGCATTGGAAATCAGCTGAGAATCCTTAAATCTCTAGGGACATGGGAAGGGCACTTACAGCATCTGCTTCACAGGGTTAGATATACCTGGAGGCTGGGAATATCCTTCCAAGATTGCTTTCCTCTATGACCTAACAACACAGTAAGAACAATCTGGAAATAACACACAAGCCTCATCATGCCTCATGATTTCCATTATATAGTAGAATTACTAGTTAGATATAATAGAATGATCCCAATCTACTGTCCTGGTTGATTCCCAGAGATTTACTGAGAACAATAATTAATTGTAGACTCAGATGTGCCTCCATCACATATGTTTTTTACATATTACATATTACATTACATTTCAGTCATCTTCAATTTTCTTTATGTTTTTTTTTTGCCTGTGTCCTCTTCAAGGATAATGAATTGCTCAATGTTTTCATCCTATGTATAAAATATCCCTTGTTTTACTTTTCTAAAAGCTAAGCTCTCACTGGAAGATGAAGAATGATTGTCTTATAAATACATTTTCAAGCCAAAATTTAAAAAAAAATTTCCCTGGCTGGACTAACTCACAATTACATTCTTATCCTTTATCTTTCTTGGCCATCAATTTTAAGCATTTAAGATTAAGATTTTAAGCATCAGTGCTGAGAAGATCATTAGGAGTCACAGATATGGAAGCAGACACTTCTTTCCCCTACTTTCTCTGCCTTATGCTAAGAGAACATATCTAGGAAAATGGGCTTAAGAGTCAGACCTACCTCAGTGGAGTTGTGAAGACTAAAGGAGATCATATGTGAGAAATCACTAAGTGATCATTAGTGGCAGGGTCCCCAGAATAAGAGGCCTTGCAAGCCAGGGGTGGTCACAAGGACACAGGACTCCTGAGAGAAAGGGACCTTCGAAAGTTAAAAAACTCTACAGAGTTAAGAAACTTGAAAGTAACTGATGTGATATTCCCCCTTGCCAGTCCAACTGGGTTTTAGCTTGGGAGGCAGCCCTTAGTTTCCCTGCTTGCTGAGTGCAAAAGGGAGTGGAATGGTCAGTTACTTCTTTTTAGTTGCATTTCATGTTTATAATTATATTGGATTTAAAATCCTGTTTTTAAAAAGTTTTTATTGTAAAATAATACACATACAGAAGAGTACAGGTAATAAAACTATTTAGCAAAATAACTATTAACAGTATCAAAAAAGACCAGCCACAGACCCAGAGAAGATATTTGCAACAAATAAGTAAATATCTTATTGTGGTCTAATGCATGCATCCATATATATTCCCTTATTCTTTTTTTTTTTTGGTTCCAAAGTGAAATTTTGTTTTTTATGAAGTTTTGTTAATATTTTACTCCAAGTGTCAAGAAGAATAAACTCCACCAAACATGCATGGAATACTAAAGGATATTGTTAAAGTATGCATTCACTGTATGGCTTAATTTTTTTCAATTTTTTAAAACACATAACACATTGTGGTAAATACACATAACATAGAAGTTACTATCTATCGAAACCATTTTTAAGTGTACAGTTCAATGGTATTAAATACATTCACAATGTTGTGTAATCACTACTACCACCCGTCTTTATAACTCTTTCATCTTGTAAATTATACACCAATTAAACACTAATTCCCAATTTCCCCTTCCATTCTAGAACAGAATCGCCATTCTACTTTGTCTCCATGATTTTGACTCCACTAAATACCTTACATAAATACTACCTTATTTGTAATGTTTCTCATGTCCCCTTTAATAAATATTTTCTATCCTCAGATTTTGTAGATATTGGGCATTACTTCTAAATGCTTGATTGTTTTGTATTTCACATGCAGCTTTATGGAGCACTGGATTTTCAGTATTGTGTGATTTAGAGATCCGATTTAGATGTTTTTCCTTATGGGTATCCAAAATTCTCTCAAAAACATTTGTTGAAAAGATCATCTTTCCCTGCAGTACCACCTCTAAATATCTATTCTGCCCATCGGTTTACTTATCTACTGCTACTGAGACCAAACTATCCGAATTAGTATAGCTTTGTTGTAAGTCTTGATTTCTGGTAAAGCAAGGCCCCCACCTTATCCCTCTTCTTGCATTTTCACATAGATTTTATATTAGCTTGTCAAGTTCCATAAAAATAACTGTTAGGATTTTTAAAATTAATCAGCTACACTTTAGAGAGGTTTTAGATTCACAACAAAATTGAGCAGAAAGGACAGAGAGAGTTACCATACATTCTCTTGTCCACCCCCTACACACAACTTTCCCCAACATCCACAGCACTGTATTTGTTATTATCAATGAATCTGCATGGACACATCATGGCCATCCAAAGTCTACAGTTTATTTTGGGCTTCAGTCTTGGTGAAGAGTATGTCTAGGACTCAGAGGATCCAGTAGGTTGTCTCTTGGTGCTCATGTGCCGTATATGAACTGTGAATTGGCAGCTACAACTCAGCAGGACAGAAGCACAATAACAAGGGCCCAGACCTCTCAGAGACGCGGGTCTGGGTCATCCTATGAGGGAAGCAACTCAGGCCAGCGGAGGCACTAAGGAAAGGGTAAGGCAGATGTTGGGTAGGTGGTAGTGGGGGAGAAGGTGAATGGCCTAGGGGTCAATTGAGGCAGCGGGAGCTTTAATTTATACCAATCATCTTCTTTGTCTAGGTTTTACTCTAAAAACTGAAGAAAGCATGCTAGATATAAGGAAAGTGAGTTTAATGGGTAACAGATATAGACCTCAGTGGTGCAAGGAATGGACATAACAGATGTTGTCAGCATTCTGCCCCTTGGATGCCTTTATCATTTGTCACGCTCATCAGCCATTTGCTTACTATTACTCCTAAGAGTCAGCACCAGGGTGTTTTTGTCAGAGGGCTGCCCTCTATAGCAGAAATATCTGGAGGCTCTAGAAATTTATCACCCTCCCCAACCCACTCCACAGACCATAAACAATAACTGATGGGGTGGGAGTAATATATCAATACGTCAGTGCCTTTGCTCCTAATTATTTCAGTGACCTACACCACCTCCAGGGCTACTAGCTGTGGAATTGAGCCAAAATGACTCACAAAATCTACTTGATTCCCTTGCCCACTCTCCTATACCTTTTTCCCATGGGAGCATTTGTTAAATAAATTCCTTTCACAAATTTCCCATCTCATAATCTACTACTGGGGAGCCCAGTCTAG